TTTTTTCCCGTAGTAGGTTGTCAAAGCTTTCTGTGGTAGACCAATTGCCATCCAAGGCTATAGAATCTGGTCTATCATGCTATATTCTCATAGCTGAAGAAGAGGCTCCATACCTTTCCCAAGGCTATTAGCACGTAAGCAACGAATGCAATGGTTTTGACTCCGAATTCCTCAATCCGAGCCACTATCTATTACTCCAAGCAGTACCTCATCTTCGGGATATGCTGGGTTCATTGCCTGGTGCTTGAGGCATTTCCAAAAAAGGGAATTGAAGAATTAAGAATTTGTCCACGGTACTGCCGATAAGCCCACATTAAACTTGACCTTGTGTCATTTCGTTGTTTCGTGGGCGCTCGGCTAATTAAGGTTTAATAAGCAAAAATTATCGCTTGTACTAACGTTTAAATAAAGTGTTGAAAGTTATTGAATCCCTTTGTTCAGTTTCCGTATACCTTCTACGTCAACTGATATAACAAATAGGCAGATATGTTTCATGCCTTTCATGTTAAATCTTTAACACAAAATAATCCCTTTTTATTTGCTTTAATTCAAACCCAATTTTCAAGTCACAACAAAAAGTAAAATAGAGACCGACTACCGTGGGGATCATAGCCTTTATAAACTTCACAATCCTTTCCTTAGTATGTGCTTCTTCAGGGTTATATGCAGTTCTTGAATTCAGAGTTTTCTTTCTCATAGACTGGCTACCAACCAAGCTTAATGATCCAAGTCTGTTCTATTATTTAATTATATCTGTGGAGGAATGTAACGATCTCGACAGGGATTCGAACTCGGTTCTCCGATTTCTCACTCGGAGGGGGGGCGCTATCTATTACACCACCTGAACATCCACACTCAAAAACGTGACAAACAGTTTCTATTTAATTAAAAATGGCATTTGATAAACGCGACCAGTTGTTGCTATAGACTGAGAAAGTATGAAAAAATAATGAAGGCAGGAAAGAAAACGAAGATATATATATATATATATATATATATATATATATATATATATATATATATATATATATATATATATATATATATATATTTTTTTTTTTTTTTTTTCAACAGAATGCTTATATTCTGTTGAGGATTTTTCTAGACTCGATGAATTACCATAAATGATTATTAAAATCCCCCAAAATTGTATTGCATTGCACCGTAACGGTCCAGGTTCGATTCTCGGTAGTGGATGCGCACTACTGATGAATTCCAAATAGAATGAAACGCCCGTTCAGTGTTTTCTGCATTCTGTTGAGGATTATTCTAGACTCGATTAACTAATACACACACACACACACACACATATATATATATATATATATCGCAAGATCATGTACAGTAAATTTGTGCCCTGGATGTTAAAACATTTCTTGGAAGATCTTCTGTCATCACAGTGTGGGATACCTACTAACGAAAGTGACGTAAAGAAAATGATTTTAAACAAATTCGGCTATATATATATAATGGACACTCCCATCACCTTTGACATATGAGGGTTGAAGCTCTTAGAAGCGAACCGTCAAACAACATCGCACATATGATTTGATTATAGGATGTGCAGAACCAGAAAAACTTGATATTGAATACACAGGACTGATGGACTTAATGTGCTGCAAGGTTCCCAAACCGCCCTTTTTAGGTTTTGAATTCAGAGTTGTCCTTCACGTAGACTGGACTCCAACCAAGGCTACAGAGTCCAATCTATCTTAGCATTTAAACCATAGCTATGGGGGATAAAAGATGGATTCCTATCTTTCTCAACGGTATTTGCACTTAAGCGAATGAACACGATTCGAATATGGTTGGATCCCCAAACTGCTATTGACTATCATCACACAACACAACACAACGCACACACATGCACACAAGCACACACACAAACACACACGCACACACCCACACACACACATATATATATATGTATATATATATATATAAGTATAAAATGGCGATATAAATAAAATAAAACTTCTTTTGCTAACGCTTTTCGTCTTCTGATGAACTTCATCAAGGCAAATCTCAAACATTTATCCATATAAAATTCATTAGAGGACAAAACCTGATGGAATTCCTGAATCAGCTACATAGTATATCTTTCTACCAAATGGGCAAACACTGTTTATATCTATCTATTTATCTATCTATTCTATCTATCTATCTATCTATCTATCTATCTATCTATCTATGTCTTACTCTGTGTTTTTTAAAATATCTATCTATCTATCTATCTATCTATCTATCTATCTATCTATCTATCTATGTCTTACTCTGTGTCTTTTAAAATATCTATCTATTTATCTATCTATGACTTACTCTGTGTCTTTTAAAATATCTATCTATCTATCTATCTATCTATCTATCTATCTATCTATCTATGACTTACTCTGTGTCTTTTAAGATGTCTATCTATCTATCTATCTATCTATCTATCTATCTATCTATGTCTTACTCTGTGTCTTTTAAAATATCTATCTATCTATCTATGACTTACTCTGTGTCTTTTAAAATATCTATCTATCTATCTATCTATCTATCTATCTATGACTTACTCTGTGTCTTTTAAAATATCTATCTATCTATCTATCTATCTATCTATCTATCTATGACTTACTCTGTGTCTTTTAAAATATCTATCTATCTATCTATCTATCTATCTATCTATCTATCTATCTATCTATCTATGTCTTACTCCGTGTCTTTTAAAATATCTATCTATCTATCTATCTATCTATCTATCTATCTATCTATGCATTCCAACAGAATCAGGGTAAACGATAAGCAAATTATCTGCCGTATTCTTTTACCTAATTTCATTCAGCCTATTGCAGTCGCTTCACGGTCGTCTGGCTCGTAATTCTCATCAGCCTCACGCAAGTGTCCCTCTTAGGTGCAATGAACAATGGATGACAAGGTAAGGAACTGAGAAATCGGTCAGATCGGAAAGAAGTCAATGATGATTAAATTGTGAAAGGATTCATTTTAACATCCATCATAAGAATTTCCCTTGCAAAGTAGATAGATATAGGCATTGGCAAAAAAAAAAAAAAAAAATAGAAAGGTTTCAGTAGATAGGAAAATTGTGACATAGATAGATAGATAGATAGATAGATAGATAGATGCAAAAGAGATAGAGTAAGACATAGAGAGATAGATATTGTAAAAGCGACAGAGAAAGACATAGATAGATAGTGAGAGAGAGAGAGAGAGATGTTGTAAAAGAGACAACGACAGATAAATAAAGAGTGAGAGTGACATATTGTAAAAGAGACAGAGTAAGAAATAGATAGATTGTGTTATACATTAAATTAAATAAATCGATAGAATTTAGTAGACCGATGAAATAGATAGATTGATCGATAGATAGAGAGAGACAGACAGAGAATGAGAGAAGTAGAATTAGGAAAATAGATAGATAGTGCTAGAGTTTATATATATATATATATATATATATATATATATATATAGAGAGAGAGAGAGAGAGAGATACGAAATAGCTAGAAATTGTTGTAGTTTGCTTAACAAGGGAATTTTTAATCTGATGTTTGAACCACAATGTATGGTGCTCAACAAGAGAATCAACACAATATTAAAGTTAAAATTGTTATATATATATATATATATATATATATATATATATATATATATATAGAGAGAGAGAGAGAGAGAGAGAGAGAGACTGGTCCTGGGAACCTGGAAGTTTAATGAATTTCAAACATGCCTATTAAATTGGCCATTCACTTGAATAATCTTCTGTAATGAAAACAGCTATTGTTTTCATTTTGTCCGTCAGCCATTATCAGTTTTTGTGCAGAATGTTGCCTCTTTCCTATCACCCATTTTCCCGCTGTTTCGCAGAAAAATAGGTCACGCATGCGCACAAGCAATTTATTCATTAAATGACCCCTTAACCGATATTTTAAAGGTTTCTTTTTCCAAAGTGTTTGGAATTGAGTAATGAACGCGATTAGGGAAATTTTGTTTTTTTATTTGGATTATTTTTCTTATTTATTTTTTCCATTTTTTTTCACCGTTTTTTCTTTCCCCAATTATTTCATTGTATTTTATTTTTCTTTGAGTTCTTATTTCTTATGTCTTCGTTAAGCTTTTCCTTCATATTTCACTAGGTCTTTTTTATTTTCTTCATTTGAAGTAAAGTGGTGCACTTGCCTTTTTTTCTAGTCATCTCGTGACTTACATTTTTTTCATTCTTTCTTGAATTCATTTAAATCCATGGGTTAAATTTTTCTTCTTCCATCACTCATTAATTTCTTCGTCATTTCTTACTTCCGTTTTTCTCATGTGATTATTATTATTATTTCGTATTCATTCATTTATTTAAGTTTTCATATTTCTTTATTTTTCTTACTTCGTTCTATTCTTAATTTTAAAAATTTCTCTCTTTCCTTCTTTCTTTATCACATTTTTAATAACTATTTCTTTATTTTCAGCTTGTTTGTTTGTTTGTTTCTTTCTTTCTTTTCGGACCTGTTTTTCCTTCCTTCCTTCCTTCCTTCCTTCCTTCCTTCCTTCCTTCCTTCCTTCCTTCCTTCCTTCCTTTCTTTCCTTCCTTCCTTCTTTTTTCTTTCTTTTCTTTCTTTCACTTCCCACGTCCAGCTTCGTTTCATTTAGTCACTTCATATTCCTTCCTTCCTTCCTTCCTTCCTTCCTTCCTTCCTTCTTTCTTTCTTTCTTTCTTTCTTTCTTTTTCTTTCTTTCTTTTCTTTAACTTCCCACGTCCAGCTTCGTTTCATTTAGTCACTTCATATTCTTTCCTTCCTTCCTTCCTTCCTTCCTTCCTTCCTTCCTTCCTTCCTTCCTTCCTTCCTTCCTTCCTTCCTTCTTTCTTTTTTCTTTCTTTCTTTCTTTAACTTCCCCACGTCCAGCTTCGTTTCATTTAGTCACTTCATATTCCTTCCTTCCTTCCTTCCCGTATTTCTTTCTTTGCATATTTTACATTTGTTTTTTTTTTCGTAATATATTTTCCATCTTTTTTCATGTTTCTTTTTCTATATATTTTCCATCTATTCTTTCTTTCTTTCTTTCTTTCTTTTTTCTTTCTTTCTTTGAGAAATGATGGCATCGAGAATGTGATTGATGAAAATTAGGAAAAATTAAATTAAAGCCATATTTTTTGTTCTTTCTTTCTTTGTTTCTTTCTTTTGTTTTTTCTTTGTTCATTTCTTTCTTTTGTTTTTCTTTCTTTTGTTTTTCTTTTTTCTTCTTTCTTTCTTTCCTTTTTCTGTGTTCCTTTCTTCTTTCTTTCTGTCTTTTGTTCTTTCTTCCTTTCTTCTTTCTTTCTTTTTTCTTTCTTTTTTCTTTCTAGGCACATTCTGTTATTCTTGAGGCTCTATTTTCCATTCATTCCTTCATTCCATGGGAGGATCGAACAAATGAATATATATATATATATATATATATATATATATATATATATATATATATATATATATATATATATATTACATCAAACGTTATATTATGTGTATTACTTTAATCGGTCTGCACTCTCGTGAAAACATAGTAAAGAAAAATGTGCTCTCCGTCAGGGTTCAAAACTGTATCCCCTCCCGTTGTCATAGAAACCAACACGTGATCCAGCGTGCTTTGCACAGCTCGGCCACAGAAAGCGTCACAACTCAGTATGGTTCTATTTACTTTTTTAAGTATTTGCAGAAATCCTCATTTGTTCTCGAAATATATCTGCTCAGTTTCACGACGAGTTTGTTTACGTAAACAAAACAATTTCGAAAGAATTAATGGACATTTTAATTGCTTGTGGATAGTATTTGAAATAAACGCCCTGTTTTGTATTAGAATACAGAATTTGTATATATATATATATATATATATATATATATATATACGCGTATGTATGTGTGTATATATAAATTGTTTTCATATCGAGTGTATCTGTAAATGAACAAAATCAATAAAAAGACAACAGTAAAAAAAACTATTCTTAGCGGATGCCTTTCGTCCTCTGAGGGACTTTATCAAGGCAAATGGATTTATTTTGTTGTACGTATTTATATACAAAAGAGAGGATGTCATTGATTTATCAAGACTTTTAGATTTAAGAACACTCATCAATGTATGTCAGGTGGTTGAAAGTAGGATTAAAAAGTGCTCAATAAATGCGTGAAAAAAATGAAAGTAAATAATAACATGCAGAGCAGCTTTTACCTTTAAAAATTAGGAAATCAGTTGATTTTAACCTTACGGTATCCTCAGGCATTTTTTTCAACTGACTTACCAACGCATAGTTTTTTTTATTTTTTTAAATATATTTATAAATAAATATTGTTTAAATTGTCTTTAGATTATTATGGGATGGAATGGACGAATGTGTTGTAGATTTTCACGCACACACAAACACACACACACATATACTAAGATATTAAAACAACATGTAAAAATCGCTACACAATTGAAGTCGGGTTTCAACGCATGCCATTGCGTCTAAGGTGTTGTAAATTATTGAAGAGTGAACGATTAATTTGGTTTCAAAAGCAAAACACATCCACTTTTTTCAAAAAAAAATTAAAAAATAAGAAAAAATAAATGATATAACAGGCTTGGTGCTTTACTCTGACCAACCAATTAAATATAACCTCCATTGAATTCAAACTAAGCGAAGAAGAAGAAAAAATTAAAATTTTCTTAGAAACTATGACCTATTTTTAAGAAACTTTTCATTCTTAATTTTTTCTTCTTCGCTAAAATAAATAATATTTCTCTACTCTATATTGAGACCACATGTAAATTAAATTGTACTCTATTCGTTCTCATCTTACCTGGATCTATCTATCTATCTATCTATCTATCTATCTATCTATCTATCTATCTATCTATCCATCTATCTCTCTCTCTCTCTCTCTATATATATATATATATATATATATGTTCAGAAGCGTGAAACCCAGGGTCACAAACTCATATCCATACAAATGAATATGTTAGCTCTATCACAGATATTGAGCTCTTTCCTGCACATATAAAGTAAAATATATATACAACACACACACACACACACACACACACACACACACACACACACACACACACACACATATATATATATATATATATATATATATATATATATATATATATAGGGCTCGATTTGGTTTTTCAATTGTTGAAATAGTACTAAGATAGACCACAGAAGTAATCCCACAGTTATTTTGTAGTGGACAATTAAGGCTATTTTTGTAGTGATTTTATAACATACTTATAATTTTTTTATAAATAATAATTATATATATATATATATATATATATATATATATATATATATATATATATATATATATATATATATATATATATATATAAATGAATATTGTTTAAATTGTGATTAGATTGTTATAGTATGTGATCGACGTATGGGCTGTAAAAATGTAGCAGGACACCAGAATGGAAGAAAAGATAAGATTATACACGTTAATCACTCTTTTCTTGGGAGAGGTAAATTTACTGATAAATCGATAAATAGAAAGAGACTCAAGACAGATGTATGTATCTGTGAAACGAGAGAAAGAAAGAAAGAAAGAAAGAAAGAAAGAAAGAAAGAAAAGTAATGCGACGTACTTGGAATCTTATCTATTGTTAAGTCTTTGCAGAAAAAAAAAAAAATTAGATTGCACCGGGAAAGTCAAAACAGACTTTACAAATTAGAGAATTAGTAAAACAATGAAAAGAGAGGAAACGGAGAATACAAACGTGATTCGCCTGTCAGATGGAAACAGACGAATTATCCAGGGAATTCGGTTGTAAAAAGACAAGGGATGAAGTGAAGAAAGGAGAAGGGATTGCAACAAAACAAATTACAAAATAAATCAGAAAAGTTGGTATGCGATAATTAGATGAATGGATGATATTTTTTTTTTTAAATCTCGGGTCAGAGAGCTCTGAAGAGTGAATGGCAAAATAAAGAAAGAGAAATAACAGACGCCTTGGAGAAATTCATGTTAACATCATCTTTAGAAGAAGAAATTTGGAGGAATTATTTGAATCTTTAACAAAGGGGTCCTGTATTTTTCGTGCTGCTATTTCCATTTTTCTTTTTTTAAAAAGTTTTTCTTTTTTTTCCTTTCTTCGTTTGCTAGTTGGTTTCTTTCTTTATTATGTGATATTTTTCTTTCTTTTTCTTTGGTTTTTTATTCGTTTCTTTCTTTCTTTCTTTCTTTCTTTCTTTCTTTCTTTTCTTTCTTTCTTGTCTCTCTTCTATTTCCATCTTTCCTCATTTCATTTTCTTCTTTCTTTCTTTCTTTCTTTCTTTCTAATTTGGTATTTTTTTCTTTGGATTCCCTTTCTTTCTTTCTTTTTCAATACAATTTCTTTCTTTCTTTTTCATTACAATTTCTTTCTTTCTCATATGATAATTTTCTTTTTCTTCTTCATATTTGTTTTCTTTCTTTCCTTCTTTCTTTCTTTCTTTCTTTCTTTCTTTCTTTCTTTCTTTCTTTCTTTCATTCTCATTTGTCATTTTTCTTTTTTCTTTGGACACACTTTCCTTCCTAGTTTCTTTCTTTCTATCTTTCACTTTCGTTCTTTCTTTCTTTCTTTTTTGTCTTTCTTTGTTTCCCTTTCTTTCTTTCTTTCTTTCTTTCTTTCTTTCTTTCTTTCTTTCAGTTTCTTCTTTTCCTTCCTTATTTCACTTTTTTACTTTCTAATTTGTTACTTTTCTTTTTGCTTTGTGTTTACTTTCTTTCTTTCTTCTTTTTATTTTCACTTTCTTTCTCCTTTGATATTTCTTTTTTATTTATTCTGGTTCACTTTTTTTTCTTACTTTCATTTTTTTCTATATTTCCTTCTTTCCTCATTTCATTTTTTCTTTCTTTCTTTCTTTCTTTCTTTCTTTCTTTCTTTCTTTCTTTCTTTCTCTTTCTCTCTTTCTTTCTAATTTGATATTTTTCTTCTTTTCTTCGGATTCCCTTTCTTTCTTCTTGTCTTTTACTTTCCTTCCTTCCGTGTTTATTTCACTTTCTTTCGCATTTGATATTTTTCTTTTTTCTTCGGGTTTATGTTCTTTTTTTATTTCTTCATTTCACTTTCTTTCTTTCCTTCGTTCTTTCACTTTCTTTCTCATTTAATATTTTTCCTTTTTTCTTCGGATTCATTTTCTTTCTTTCTTTCTTTCTTTCTTTCTTTCTTTCTTTCTTTCTTTCACGTGTTTTTTCTGTTTTCCTCTTTAACTTGCATTTTTTGCTTTTTCCTCCTTCCCTTTATTTATTATTATTTTTTACTTTTACTTTCTTTATCTTTTCTTTCTTTACTTTCTCTCTGTCCAATATTTTTTTCTTAAATTTTTAAGCCCCCCCCCCAACCCTTTTAAATATTTTCTCTTCATTTTTATTTCCTGCTTATTTTTTTCTGTCAATCTGTGTTCCTTTCGCTCTTCTCTCTCTCTCTCTCTTATCACGCTTTCCTTTTCGCCTCTCTCTCTTTTTCTTTTACTCTCTTTTCATTTTCGTCACTCTCCTTTCCTTTGCCCTTTCTGCTCCTTTCTCTTTTTCTTTTACTCTCTTTAACTTTTCGTCACTCTCTTTCCCTTCTATTTACGTTCCTTTCACTCTCTCTTTCTTTTCACCACCTTTCCTTTTCGTCACTCTCTTTCACTGCCCATTTTGAGTTTCTTTCTCTTTCTCTACGCCCTTAATGTCTTATCGTCTCGCTTTTCTAGCATTCCTTTTATTTTTCTTTGTATTCTTTCATTTCTTGAAAGATTTCGTTTATAAGTAAATCTAGCATTCGCACACACACACACACACACACACACACACACACACACACACACACACACACACACACACACACACACACACACAAACACAATACTAGTGTCTGAAATTCACGTGTAAATATTTCCAGTAAAAACAGCGGCAGATTAATGAATAGAACAACACAGAAAAAAAAAACATTCAAAGAAAAAACATGCCGACATTACTTAGAATGCGAAGAACCACAGATGTTAACAGATGTGTGAAACGCTCTTAAAAGAACTCTGTTAGAATATATCTGATTAAAATATCTGTTTGTGCTATTAATCACCAGAAATAATTTTTAGGGAGCCTTCTATAATTTTGTGTCAAACAGGACGGATAGTAGCAACAGATATAAGCAGGATGCTGCTGGTGTGGCAGAGGAGATAGCATAATACTGATAGTAAAAGGGAAAGGTCTGAGATCAAATCAACGAAAGGGAAACGATATTATTTACTAAGTATACCTTAGTTTGGCACAAGATGAAATGGGCGATTTAGAAATATGGGATTATTATTGCTTCAGTCGACTAACTAAGGAGGGCTTGCTCACTCCGAAAAGCAGAATTCAAAATTCTAGTTTTTATCCGTCTTTGAACATCGATTTCTGGTGCCGATAGATAACACACAAATATGTTAGGCATTGAGGAATGGACTTTATGAGAATAAGCTGCTAAAGAAATAAAATCCAAACAATAATAAACGAATGAGTAAGTGAACAAATATAGAATAACAGTTACCCTCGAGAGACGTAAAACGGAAGGCAGTGTTGATTACGAAACAAAGTCAAATTAGATGTTTCGTAAATACAAGACCAGAATAGGATTAAAAAAAAAATCGGTGACCTAAAAACTATGCTTAATAAAATCACTTATTCTTATAACCGAGGGAAGAGAGAGAGAGAGAGAGAGAGAGAGAGAGAGAGAGAGAGAGAGAGAGAGAGAGAGAGAGAGAAAGAGACGTTAAAATAGGAAAGCGGGAGCAGTAAAGCCCAAAGCGTAAAAGATAATTAACAAGGAAACATTGCAAGAAAAAGAAAAGAAAGAAAGAAAAGAAAAGAAAAGAATAGAAAAAAAAGAAAGAAAGAAAGAAAGAAAAATGGAATAATAGTATATCCTTAAAGAGATTTGGTGGAACAAGGCCGTCACATTTTCAAATGTAGATAGCATTCAGAAAAATCAACATTTCAAAACTCTGCTGGGGGCGCAAGGGGGTGGGGTACTGAGTGTTAGAGAATATGAAAAAAAAATTCTAGTAAATTCTAGCACAACAAAAGAACAAGAATTAAGAAGACAGAAGATAATGATTGATATTACATTTAAATTTTTGAAAATCAACGTTGACTGGGAAGCAAGAAGCCAAAAGAGAATTCCACAAGCGAGAAGTGCGATAGAAGAATCTATTAGCATAGAACTTACGGTTACATCTAGGCATTTCAACTGTAAAAATGGTGAGACCTTGCCGCCAATATTGTACGGCGTTTAAATTCATAAAGTTTAAGTAACATAGAGGAAAATTCATCAAAACAATTGCAAATGAAATTATTTATAGAAAAGTCAGAGGGAAGATACGGCGGTAGGGAAGTGACTGAAGCCGAGATGGCAGGTCAGGACCAATAACATTGCCGATTCTTCTTTGGTTTTTATCAAGAAATTTATAGCAGGAGCACCAGGCCATATGTAGCAGCAATATTCAAAGAAAGGACGAATAGTAAGTAGACTTCTAAATACGTAAGATAGATTCTGGTGAGAAAAATTGTCTAGCCCGACACAAATATTTAAATTTGTGTAGATGCTGAATTTTGGTATATTGGCATCATAAAGTCTTGATACGAAAGCGATGGGGTCATCCGAATAATTATTATGAAATTCTTTCTTTCTTTCTTTTTTTCTTTTCTTTTCTTTCTTTCTTTCTTTCTTTCTTTCACGTCCTTTTACTTATTTCCTCTTAAACTTGCATGTTTCTTCTTTTTCCTCTTTCCCTTTATTTATTATTATTTTTACTTCTTTTTTCTTTATCTTTTCTTTCTTTACTTTCTCTCTGTTCAATATTTTTTCGTAAACCTTTCAAGCCCCCACCCCTTTAAATATTTTCTCTTTATTTTCTTTTCCTGCTTATTTTTTTCTCTCACTTTGTTTTCCTTTCGCTCTTCTCTCTCTCTCTCTCTTTTGCGTATACCTCTTTCCTTTTCGCTTCTCTCGTTTCCTTTCCCTTTCCACCTCTTTCTTTCTTTTACTCTCTTTCCCTTTTCGCCAGTCTCATTCCTTTCCTCTTTTCGCATCTCTCTCTCTTTTTCTTTTACTCTCTTTTCACAAGAAAGCCCAGGGACTCTACGTTAAAAAGATGGGAAAATGACTGAAGCCGAGATGCCAGGACCCTTTAAGCTTGACCCTAAACACAAGAAGATTTAAAGTTCAGAAATATAAAAGAATATTGCGAAAAGATTGAAAGCAGGAGAAGCAGAGAGAAAACACAATTAACTGACCTGACGTACAGCCTTGTACAAATTAATGGAAACAACCGCTTTAGTTTCCTTTCTTTCACCATACGTTCAATTTTTGACCCACTGGAGTGACAGGGTGTAATCGATTTCTATTTTTTTCCTTGGTGTGCAGTAATATGAATGTATTTTCGCTGTGTATGATGAAATTTGTTTGGACCTGAAAAATATTGCGTCATCCGTGGTTGCATCAGATTTTCATCACGCCCAGACACTATTGTCTCGACTGTCGATTAGTTGTCCTACGATCATTGTCTGCGATGGACGTTACTCCAAGGAAGCGTACGAAAATTGTAACGCTGCACGAACTCACTGGCAAGCCTTACAAATAAGCAAATCAAAGTACTATAGGTTGACCCGGAAACTCTCCTGATTTAAATCCAATCGAGAATCGGTGGTCAATCTGCAAGGAACAACTTCGTGGAGTGAACGTACGAAGGACTAACATGTGCACTGGGTCATGTTTCATTGGAAAATACGAAAAAAGTAAATAATAACGGAATTATTCGTTTTATTTCAATTAATTTGCCCAAGGGTGTATTTGTTAAACTGGATAGAAAAGCGGAGACAAAAAAGTGATGTTAAAAAGTTAAAAGTTTCTTCAAGCTACAAGGGACAAGAATTTGTGAAGAACCCTGATGACCCAGCTGAAAGGAAAAAGAACAGAGAATAATTGTATAATGAAGAACATTATTCTTCTCTTTGTTTTTATGATATGGTAATTTTCTAAGCGTACCTTAAGATGGATCACACTCATTACTCAATCGTCAGTTTTTCTAGCGAGACAAGCTTTCTAACCATTTGAGGGGCGTAAAATGATTTTCTAAGCTTAGCCTAGATGTGGCACAAGGCCAAAAATCTGGAACACCCAGTGAGGATCGAACTCATTGCTCAGTCGTCATTTTTCTGGCGAGACAAGCTTATACTAGGTCGAGGTGCCTAAAATGATTTTCTAAGCGTAGCATAGATGTGACACAAGGTCAAATCAGTGGGGAACCCAGTAAGGATCGAACTCACTATTCAGTCATTGTTGATCTATAGAGACAAGTTTACTAAGCATTCCACCACGCCGAATCTCCCCCCTTGTTCATAAGGAAATCGATTATTTTTCTTCCTAGCGCTAACAATTAAAAGTGTCCAACTGACCTCAGTTTTCGTTTGGATTCTATTTCTGGCATTATTCTTGTCTTTCACCAAACTCTTTTCTGCTGTAACTTTTAGTGTTTTATAATGTGTCCTCTATGAAGCCAGTGTTTTCAGGAACGTCCGTAGCGTGGTCCTGTTTTTAATATATATATATATATATATATATATATATATATATATATATATATATATATATATATATATATATATATATATATAATTTATTCTATATACAGGCAGGCAGTGCAATGTCCAACAGTTCTGGACGACTTAGTTCTACTCACTTTTCGCACAAATACTCTTGGGAAACGTATGAATTCAACATTTCGTCACCCATTTATGACTTAAATAGCAAGGGAAATTGGATTCTCTAGCCGTGGTTGGCAACCAGTCTGAGAGAACAACAACTCCGAATTCCAAACTCAGCCACTTGAAAGTGTACAAATATGGTTAGACATAGTGTGCAGATATTGTGTCTGTCAAACAAAAACACGAT